TGCCCCCGGCCGAACCGGCGAGGGAGCTGGGTCACGTGACCTCCCCTCGCCCATACAGCACTCCCCGCGGCTTCGGCCCCGCCCCCCCACCACAGCCAATAGGAAGCGAGCAGGAAGGGCTGAGTAGAGTCACCGATTTTCTCGATAGCCCCGCGGCTGGGGGAGGTGAAGGGGCAGAGGGGCAGGGGTCCTGCTCAGTTGGGGCAGGGCAGTCTCTGACTGCCGTCTTCCTACCCCTGAGACCGCCTTACTTCAGGCCAGGGCCCCAGCACCCAGCCTGGGAGCGTGAATACCTGGGGACGGGTAGCTCTTTTTCTCCGAGGTGCCGCTGGGGCACAGTGTCTTAGGCCGGCTGTGAGCTCACGGCATCACAGGTACTACTGCTTCTTTTTGGAGTATGAAGGGGCGGGCAGCACGCCTGTTCTTGAAAGGCTTTGGTCCCTGTGGGTTTGGTGTTGGCCGTCTATCTCCATGTGTGTTTTTCTAAGGCTCCACCTTTGCAGGCGTCCCAGCCCTGCCGGCAGGCTGTGGCCTGTGTCACCTGCTGAAATGTGGGGTGGCAGGAGCTGGTGCGTCTGCTCCGCACAAGTGTCCCATAAGGGAGTGCCCCCTGCTGTCATATAGGCTCTTCCTCTGTGCAGGTATGGATAGTTGCCTGTGTGCCCAGTTGTATGAGGAAAAGGGCTGTCATTCATGGTACAGCTAAAACATGTCTTCACAGCAATCCAATGTGAGAATGTCCATGCTGGAGCTTTGAAGCTGCAGGCAACATTTAAGCGTGATACTTGTCTCTGTTTCAGGGTAGCCGAGACTACTGGACAAAGAACCCCAGGGAGATTTGCTGCTGCAAAAGGTAGTATTGTGTTTGGGACTTGAGCTTGTGGCCTTCCTGAGACCTGATTTTATGATAAAGAAGGTATCCCACTGGAATTCACCCAACAAAGTGTTAGCGAATAAAAGGAAACTATTTTTCTCTGCATTTTTGAGGGTGATTTGTGCTCTGTTTTGTAGCATAGCCCTGGAGTATAGTATGACCAGTCCTTTCACTCTAATAATAACCTTGCATAAATAGCTTAGTAAGTAATTTGCTTCTGCTTTATAGAACTTGTGTCAGCTGACAAGCTACAGTTTGAGTATGCAGAGAAACCACTTACCCTGTCTTGCACTGGGAGTTAGCACTGTTTCAAGTATGCTGCTCCAGGCTGTCCTTCCATCTGTTGTTTAAATAGAGGCCTCTTTTCCATTCATTCATCCGCTGCAAACCCAGCCATGTTTATGAAGAATTTCTGACACAGCCATGGATGTTCTAGGGAAAATGAATGTTAGTATCAGACGTTCTGCACCAGAAAAGTATGTAATACTTCTGAATTGCTGAGGTCTTTATATGGATATTGCAAGATCAGTGAAAGATCAGGAGAAGATCAGGAGAAAGTGGTAGGGGGAGGTGTGCAGTAAAAGGAAATGGTAGCCAAAAGCAGTTTATTTTGAAGACAAAGGGTAAGAGGAATTCCTCTGGATAAGAAGGAGGGAGGGTTGGTAAATAGTGCTTCTTGGAAAGTTAAGTGTCTTGTTAAACACAAATGTGAACTGCTCTAGATACAAACCCTTAGTGATTAAGTAAACATTAGGAGCCATCACTTTACAGGTATAATCAACAGTCAGCTGAAGAAAGAGGAAGAAGAATCTTTAGAGAAAATACTATTCAGAAAAGTAATTGCCTACTTGTTTTCTCTTGCCCTTTTTAAAGATTTATTAGTTCAAGTAATTTCTTGTCTTTACAAGAGAGAACTGGGATAAACAGAACACTTTAAAACATGCTTTGGTGTGTTGCATTTTTCAAAAATAGGTCTTTGATATGATGCCATGTTCTAAAATTGTACCATTACATTTTTGTTAAAAACTAGAAGGTTCAGCCTCTTTCTGCCCAAGTGTTTATTTCAAAAAAATGTATGTGTCTAGTCAAAACTATTATTGCGTTTCCTAAAATAACTCATTATAGCAAAAAATTGCAATTTAGGCCCTAGATACATTCAAGACATACTCATGTGTTCATTTAATTAAAGATGTACATCTCCCTACTTCTTCAGTAAGAGATGCTAATATAATTAGCTAAATTTAAATGCTTAGAGAATTCTCTTTTTCTCCTTGTGAACTTATGTGGTTGATAACAGCTAAAAGCTGACAGTCTGTCAAATAAACCATTTTTAAGTTCTTCAAGTATCTTAAAATAGTATATATTTATTCATTTGGAAAATGTTAATAAGCATTTCTATGCTGTATTAAGAGAAGCAGCTGATTCTAAACAGTATAATTAGTCATGGTAACTTTCAAGGACTAATTTTCTTTCTAAACATAACTTGAGTTTGTCAAAATCAGAGATTATGTTCTTCATTCTATAATTGATATGGCTTTTCAAAGTGAAGAAATTTTGTTTAACTGTACGATTCTTTTCCCTAAACAGTTAATGTTACCATGATTGCATCAGCAGGACTGCTGTTTGGGTTGAGGCAAGGCTTCTGCTCTACTCTGCCTCAACCTGTGAGATCCCCATCTTGCTTTGTTCTTAAGCCTTTTGCTGAAATACAAATTTTAATAACCTTACTCATGTAAATTATTTCACTGCACTACTTCTTGGTCTTGCTCAATAAAACAAATTGGCTAATTAAGAATTATGATTAAGCTTGTGCTCAATGTAGAGCAAGTAGGAAAAGGGCAGGATGGGAAATACTGTTATGTCTTGGCTTAACCTGAAAAAAAAAGTCTATATTTAATTAAGCTTGACAGTGTACTTTTTTTTTTTTTTCCTCCTCGTTAAGGAGTTGCTTCTATGTATGAATGGTTGGATCAGATCAGGTCATACTTTGCTGTGATGCAGCAGGCAAGTGTCAGCTACTCCTTCAGATAATATAAAACTGCACTAATTAGAGCACAGAGATGAGTTCCTAGAACTCTTCTTAAATATCTGTCCAAAAAGTTAAGATTGGTGGTGTGCTTTTCTTGTTTACATAGCAACAAAATAAAAACAAAGGAAATGGGGTTTTACAGCATATAACTTGGGTTGAATCATGTTCCTGTTTGCAAAATTCCCAAAGAGATCCAGAAGGACAAGGCCACCAGATCTGTTTCAAGTGTGCAAACACATGCTCTATTTCAACTCCGTGTGCACACGTGGAAAGTATGTTTTCCCCTTTCCACTACAGTAGTTTAATTTAAAGAATTACTAATACTTAGCCAGTACTGTCTGGCAAACAGTTTTGTCTTTGTTCTGGCATCTGTTGTGATGAAGTTGCTAAGCAGGAGTGAAAGAGCTAAAATATGCCATGTGCATGCAGCCTCCCCAAACACTGTGGAAGCTGCCTTAAAACTGTATCTTGGTTCCAGCCATGACACAGGGTATGCAGCGGGGTTGGAGGTGGTGTGCGCCATAGACAGAATATCAAAGTAGCCTTGAGGCTGTACTGGTTGAGACACAAAGCCTAGTGGGACTTACGCAGCCTGGGTTTTGTAAACAACAACAATATTTGCCCAAGTGCAGGAAATAAGAGGTTGAGGCTTATTAGAATAGTACTACTTAGAGGCTTATTAGAATACACTACCAAATGAAAAAAGCACTAGGAAATGCCTTCAAGGTTTTACATACATTTCTGTAGCCAATGTAATATTTTCTTCAGCCTCCAGAATTATAGATTCAACCTAAAAATCAAGCTTCATTCATACTATACCTAGTTATAAAGACTGTGAACAGCAAATTATAGATGTGATTCGTCCTCTTTCATGGTTTGCATTATCAGTTCTAGTGGACTGGTTATACTGACACCAGTGCTCACAGCTGATGAAAGCTGTGTGTATTTAGATGAGTTGCACTCCTTATTTTACTGCACTTGATTTTTCTGCAGTTTTTTGGCTCTGATGGGGTATTGTGAATAAAAATAGCTGGTAAAATATGCAAATGAATGCACAGTGTTAGGCCTGCTGTATCTCCTTAGCTATTTTTTATCTTTTTATGGAATCACTTCTTGAAAATGCACTTCTGATCTTTTCTCTGGCGCAGAGAGTATTGCTGTATGATTATCTAATGTGAAATCTGGACAATTTCCAGACACTAAAGAAAAGTAGTGTTAGGAGACTCGAAGGTATCAAGCAAAAATAAAAACTGCAAGATGGTAGAACTGCTATTAGCATGGCAAAAGCCTCTCAGTCTCACGGACAATGATGAAGCAGTATTATTTAAAAAAGGCCTGGTTTGCAATGGCATTTTCTCTGTAAGGTATATAATAATACTGTATAATATTTTTTTCTCTGTGGATGAGTTAGCAGTTAGGGATCCTAGAAACACATCAGAGAAGTGGGTGACAAGAATTAAGCAAGAAGACAAGGCTGTGTTCAAAAATTTCTAGACACCTACAAGTGGGGAAGCCTAGAAAGTAAGCAAAATTTGTGGAGGCCGTGGAGGATTGCTATTTCAGATTGGCAATAGGTCAGATTTCTCTTTGACTGGGGTAGATTATTGCCTAATACAAGAACAAGGTGTGCTGGTAGCAAATGTGACAACATATTAAAGGTAGATGAGAGCATCACTAAATATAAAATAACAAATACAAAATGAAACCCTTATGTGGCTACTGTTAATTATAAAATTTATAACATTAAAAATAATAGTTACAAATATTTCACTTTCTCCTATAGAAAATTCAGTCATTTTCAAACACTGTTAATTTTCATGTATAATCTGGTACCAGCAGTAAACAGTGTTAGAACAGAAAATTTTCCAGAAAAAGAAGAGGTGTTAATAAAATATTGCAGAAATGAAATTTGGATTAGAAATTAGACATATTGTAATCTTGTCTTGAAGGTGCCTGAGCATGATTTGCTTCTTGATCTAAGTTGATTCTGAAATTAAATATGTATAAATTTTTATTGTGACCCACCTGAAAAAAGAACTAAAATATCACACCATCAAAGCACCACACTTAAACTGGCCAAGTACAAATATGAAACTTTTTTGTGTTTTTTTATATAACTAAAACAAGTTATATAGTAAGTTTTATGTGTATATGTAACTTAAATTATATAGTAGGTTATATACATAACTTTTTTGTTTTATTTTTGGATATATAAACATATATGTGGTATTCTGTGAACTCCTAGCTCTGTCTGCATGCCAATTGCAAGTCATTCCCTTGTGTTCTTGCACAAATTCTTCTTGTGTTACAACCTCCATCTTGTTTCTGAAATTGTACTTAAGACCTCCCATGCTCCTTTTGCCAGCACCACCCATTTCACTATGTCAGGCAAGAGTGGTCAGCAAATAAAGAACAGCGGTCGTTGTTGAATATGACACATTGTGTTGATTTTTTTTTTTCTTTCTTTTTTGTTTGTGGGGTGTTTTTTTTCATCTCAACAACAGGGAGAAACACCTGCCCTAAGATAACGAGAGAGCAGTTTTCCTATGGCAGCAGGAAGGTTTGACTGTGGTACAGTTCAAAATCCAGTTTCAAAGGTCATGTTTGTGCTTTAAATGAAATGTGAGGCTGATATTTATGTTCTGCCAGATAACAATAGTAGTGATGCAAGTGCATCCTTTGGACTCCTCAGGTCAGGGCTACTGATGATGTGGGGTTGCGGTGTGGTGGTGCCCAGTGTTTCCCAAGGCGGTGGTGCTCCCAGTGCCCATGTGAACACCAGAGGGCCCAACAGGGGTAGAAATAGGCCCCTTTTTATTGTCCACTGGAGTTCTCTACTACCAGACCCAACATATCTTGAAGTGTGCCTATACTGAGTATACTTATATGGAGAAAGTGAGAGACCTCAAATCCAATAGGGGGAAAAAGTTAGCTTTCCTATCCTCTATCA